CAGGGGCCCTGGCCACAGCCGGGGCCCTCAGAAGCCATCATTACGAGATTTCTAACACCAGAAGCTTGAGTCTGGAAAAGATGCAGCATGGCCCATTCACCTCTCCTGCGGCAGCACTGTCTGCCCTGCAAAAGCCTCTTCTTCCCTAGAGATGTTAGCAGAACATAAGTGAAGGCCTTGTCTCCCTCACTGGAGAAGGAGAGGACTTCTTCAGCTGGGGCTCCCACCCTGTGCCCCAGGGCATTGGGGTTCCCGCAGAGGCCAAGGGGAGGGCCAGCGCTGTCTGTTTAGCAAAGGTGGGGGCAAGTGCTCACCCTAGTATGGACCAGTAGAACCGGAACCGGGGGAGCTTTGCATGGCCTATGGGGACAGCACTGGACCTGGTGGCGTGAGGCTCATGAACAGCACCGACATCACGTGTTCAGTGTGTGTGGCTGAGCTTTCGGTCAGGGCTGACGGCACCTTCTGTATGTGGATGACACTGACCAGGCTGCGTGGACACAGCCGGCTATGCAACAGCCTTGTCACAGGCAGAACGTGCAGCTTCAGGAACTCAGTTCGAAGTGGACTGGACACACACAGCCCCATGCTGGGAAAAACTCACAGAATTCACAAAGGCCAAACAGCCAACGAAACGACTTGTCCCCCGCCTTGTGGTCCTGGCGAGGGGTTCACATGTGGGCAGCTGCCCAGCTGCAGCAGGTAGACGCTGCTTCTGTGCCAAGCAGCTGGGCCAGTGCTCAGAGCGTGTCCCAGCTCACCTATGTGTAGAAAACGGGCTGCGGTTGATTTGGGTCGCAGACCCCAGCTGACAGAGCTGGAGATTCCCGGTCACCTGCTGTAAGTTCCTGGGACACGCGTGGTGAATACTCCACTGCCTGGGCTCCCGTCTGTGCCGTCCTGCAGCACTACTTCCCCTGCCCACCCAGGCGGTGCTTCGACTTGTTCATCACCCGCTTTGGATCCGAGGAGTCCAGCGCTGTCTACCACGAAGTCTGCCCTCCAGGGGACCCCATGCTGGCGATTCTGTGTTCACTCTGCAATACCCGGGCAACACCAGCATCTCAAAGGCTCTGCCTCCATTGAGTCCCTCGGAGGGGCTTAGGTTAACTGCTCACACTTAAGCCTCTGGCCACGCTTCCAGAGGAGCCACTCAAAATTACTCCTGGCTCATTTATTCACTTACACTCATGGGTGGATGTCTTCTAACCCTGAGGAATCTCCTCACTGGGCAGGGCTTCGTGGCTTCGTACACCACAGTGTCTCCTGTCAACTTGTCACCAGCAGCCACCTGGATGTCCCATGCTTGTGCCGCAGGCTCCCTTCTGCTAATGCCAGTGCTTTTAAACATACTTTTAGCCAAAAGGTGGCAGTGCAGGAAAGAAAGTGAACCTGAGACTCCACAGCCAGGGAGCCCCTCTCCTCCCAGCTCCAGGCCAGGAAGTAGCTGGAAACCCTCCAGCCTCGCACTCTCACGCACCTGCAGTCATGTACACACGTGCTTGCATACCAGTGGAACCTCTTTGGAAGCCTAATTGATGAAAATCACCCAATCCTAATAAATATTAGCATTTCTGTGCCCATTCAAGAGACCCAGAAGAAGGCAGCCCCATGCAAAACAAGTATTTACTGAGAGGTGAGTGTCTAACAAGACCAGGAGCTTCTTGCCTGTGTGGTGATGGAGAAAGAAAAAGCCTGAATATTGTTTGTTTAGTCACTTGCTCTGAATGATTTCACTTCACTGCTAAATTAGCCCCAAAATTCCAGCTCTCTTCTGAGCAGGACGAGACTTTCTGGAGGAGGTGACATTGAAAGCAGCAGCCTCCTCAAAGCTGCAAGAGCAGACTTGGCTCAGCCAGGCAAGCCCCGACCTGAGATGAAGTCTGCTCCTGGTGTTGGCTGTCAGTAATGACTGGTACTCTCTGTGTTTCAGCATCGGCCACCTGGGTGCAGCTGCTGCCCACGGCGTCACTGACTTCAACAGAGCACCCTCCCCACAAGCTCAAGGTGTGTTCATAAAAGTCAAATAAGAGTGTACATGGTCCTTAACTTCTTTCTCCTCCAGTTATGGGTCCATGTGCACGTGTGCCCATGTATTATGCAAGCAGTTAAATGGGATACTACTGTCATTTGGAAACAGCGTTTTGCTTCACAGTCTGCTTTCTAGATGAAATTGAGTCTGAGCCTTGAAGTCTACACTCCAGTTGGGAAGGTAAGGCATAGGCACAAACCAGCCAACCGCTTTACGAAGCTCTTCCGCTGCACACACAGAAGCAGCCGTTACCTTCAGCCTTGGGACCCACAAGGTGTCTCTAGGACTGTAGTGAAGGCTGTGTGATACACTTTAGGGAGCCCAGCAGAGCGACCTTATGATGTCCCCAGAATGTGAGATCTGCCAGTCCCCCTTCTGTGACAGGCTGTGCCACCTCCCAGAATGCTGGAGACACACATGCAAGCCCAGACAGAGAACTGTTCCTGAACAGTGAGCAAAGCCCTTACACACACGTCTGTCTGCACACCAGGTGTCATCCTGCGGCCAGAAGGCTGAGGTGGAACTGCGCTTGTGAAAAGGTGCCCCAGGCCCCATGTGTGACAGCCACCAGGGGAAAGGCCTCCTCCCAGACGGTGGGCCTCATCTGGGACTCTGGATTTGAAACCCAGGGGACTATTTTCCGAGTCCTGACTGGTGAATGAAGAGAGTGGTTTCTATACCTTTTGTATATTTGAGAATCATCTGAGAGCTTTTAAAAAATACCCAGGTGTGGGTAAGGGGATCACGCCATGACAGTCGGGCCAGGATTCTGGGAGTGTGAAGAGTGGCCAGGGAGGCCAGGACTGGGAGCCCCTCCACCCTGGGTGAGATGCATCCCCTCCAGGCAGATGGCTGAAGGCTCCGAGTGAGGATGAGCCGCTAAAACCTCCAGGCATGAAACACCCAAGCTGCACCCATGTGTCACCACAAGCAAAGGAACAGTTGGTGAGGTCGCTGGGCTGCTGGGTGCTGGGTATCCACACTGGAAGTCCAAGACAGCCACCTCGATGGACTTTAGGTGGCTGTTAATGGGGGAGAGCCAGGGAGGCCACACAAAGGATCAGAGTGAACAAGAGCCAGGCAGTCACACACACTATAGGGTTTGTGATCACTGAAGCTGCGGACTCTGACCCCTGCGGCCTCTGGGCTCTCAGTATCACGGGGTTAGGTGCTTTCCAAGCGTGAGGAGGCTGTACACAGATGGCCTAAATTTTAAGGAGTCTTCATAAGATGTTAACTATTTTGGATCTTTGGGGGGAAAAAGAAACATAAACCAAAACAAAACGAGAGACAGTGGGTCCTGTACAACTTTCCCTGCAGTTCTTGGAGAATTTTGAAAATGTCTGGATGGCCTAAATTTTAAGGAGTCTTCATAAGATGTTAACTATTTTGGATCTTTGGGGGGAAAAAGAAACATAAACCAAAACAAAACGAGAGACAGTGGGTCCTGTACAACTTTCCCTGCAGTTCTTGGAGAATTTTGAAAATGTCTGAGCCTCAAGCACCAAGCTCACTGTACCTTAGAAACCAGCATCCCAAAAGAGCAGGTCACAGGGCTGAACAGAAGTACTAGCTTAGATGATAGAATTTTTCGGCGTGGAAGGGAACCATCTGATAGGATTTTTGCGCGGCTGAAAAGATAAGAAGTATGAAATATAAATGACCTTTATTTTAAGAATGTGGGGAGAGACCCCTTGACCCTCCAGGGTCTGGCATTCTCTCTGCCAGACGCGTGGTGTGGGGGCATACATGTAGCTTAGGTTTGGGATGGTGCCTAAGGGGCATTAAGTGATGCACAGGTAGCTCATTGATATTCATCATTGATATTCATTTTGTGCCACAGGTAAATTCCTAGGGGCGGGGAAGATGACCTCAAGTTAGAGTCCCTTGGTTCCACCTCCCAGCTTCACTGGCTACAGTGTCCCATCTGGGGCAAAATCCTTTCACCAGGGACCAAGGAGGGCATCGTTTTCCTGGCTGGTTGTTCATCCGCTTCACCACAAAGCCCAGAGGAAAGTAGGTGGGAAAAGGTCCCCCCTGCAGGCTCTGAGCCTGACCACCTCCTGATCCAGAGTCTACCCTGCTCCAATGCTCAGTTCCCAAGATCTTGAAAGCAGGGACCCACACACTGGACTTCCCCAACTAAATCAGATTTCTCTAGACCATTAGAAAACGCGCAAAAGGGAGGTAATTAGAGCACTCTGGATACCAACATTCTGTCTCTGGAACAAGAAGCAGCAAAGAGACCCCACGCAGAAGGAGAGTCCTCCAAAATGCACAAAGTGGACACGCACCCGCACGTCTGTGCGAGTCCGGGAAAGGCCCATCAGAGGAGGAACCTCTCCTTAGGTTCAGTACAAAGAGCTTGGTGAATTCCTGCTTTGCTCTGCTTGATCAGTTCTTGGTTTGTTAACAGTGGATTTAGCAGAAGTAACAGCCCCAGGAAACAGTTCTAGCCTCGTTACTCTAAGGCCTGCCGGGCCACAACCAAGTAAGATTCCTGGGTTTGGGCGCGCTCCCGGCCACTACTCGTGCACAGGATGCTTGAATGAGAGCCAGTCGTGGCGGGACCAAGCAGGGCTGCAGGACGCAGCGCACCTGGCGGCCTCTCAGCGCGCCCTGGCGCCAGGGCCGAGCGGTGCACGCGCCGCCAGCCTCGGGGTGGGGGCGGGCTCGGCCCTGGCGGGAGCCACAGCCCCTCGCCCCCGACACGCCCGTCCCAGCGCGCGCAGAAAGTTCCTCGAGGTGGGGAGGCGCGCGCCGCCGGGGCCCACCGAGCAGAGCGGGCGCTCTGGACGTCTGGCGTGTTTTCTCAGCGCTCCAGACCCCAGGCGGTGCCGGGGCAGCAGGCGTCCGAGCGCCCGCCGTGCGCGTCCGTCCCCGCCCACGCCCACGCCCGCGCCCGCGATCCTCCTGGAGGGCGGGGCTCCTGCGGCCCAGGACGCGGAGCTCGCGCCCCGCGGGTCGGGGATGCACGGCGCCCTGCGGCCCGTAGCCGGGGCGCGCGCGGGCTGAGCCAGCGGCGGTGCACGAGGCGCGAGGCAGAGAGCCCGGCAGCTGCAGACGTGTCCGCTGGCAGGGCCCCGTCCCGAAGATCTCCACCGACAAACCGGGACCCCTGAGAGTGTCCGCCCCACTTGGATCCGCGCCACCCGGACGTGCAGGATCGTCCGGGCCCCGCGGCTCCCACAGCCGGGGGGCGATGCCTGGGCGGCTGCGGACAGGCGGCGGTAGGAGGCCCAGGGCAGGCGCGGACCCGGCGCCCCGGCGCTAGGGACCCCGAGGCTCCTCCGCAGCGGGACTCGGCCTCGCCTCCGACGCGATGGCCTCTGAGGTGGTGTGCGGACTCGTCTTCAGGCTGCTGCTGCCCATCTGCCTGGCAGTCGGTGAGTCCCCGACGCTCAACCAAGTTTCCGGGGTGGCGGGGGGCTTCTGGCTGTGAGCTTTCCGGCCACCTCGAGAGTGAGCGCCCTGGACGCGGGACTGCGGAGCCCAGGATCCCAGCCCCTCTGGGCTTCCCGCTGGGGCGTACAGAGCTGGGGCTTAACCTAGGTCGGCGTACTTTGGCGAGTTTGGGCTGAACTTTGCGAATTTTTTGTGGTGGAGTTCTGACCACTGGAGGGACAATGTAGGATCTCGGTGGAGACCCTGTCGCTCACTGGATGGGGCAGCTGGGTGGCACCTGGCATCCGGTGGCACACCTCTTCCCATTGTGTCCCAGTAGCTGGGTAGGGGACAGTGAGGGTCCACGTGCTGGGATGCGGTGCCTGGAGTCGCCTTTCTTTACCTCCGCGGAAGCTGGGTGCTGAGGCCACCGCCCGCCCAGCGCCTGCGCGCTCTTCTCCATAGTTAAAGGCTGAAAGGCAGGGTTGGGACTTTGCAGGCTGCGGAGTTGCACGGAGGACGCCAGTAGCTGCTGTTTCTGCAGGGCTGGTCCATGTCAGGACTAATCGCCTGGGGTTCAGGAGTTGTGCTTTGAATCCGCTCCGAGGGGCGCAACTCTGTCCCCACCTGCATCAGCGAGCTCATACTTTTTACGGAGTCTCCCGGTGCGCCCTCACCCAGGCCACCTTTTCACATTAGGCCAGAGAGGGCAGAGGACTTGTGCTGTGGGTTGTATTCGCTTGTTCTGTAGTCGTTTATGAACAGCTTAGGAGCCTGCCTGGCTTCTGAGCTCAGAACCCAGGTCCCCAACCTAGGGCATCTGGGAACCCTGTAGCTGGATCCTTGTCCTCAGCAAGGGCCCTGGTGGGGTGCAGGAGAGTGCCTCTCCACAAAGTGATATGTGCACCCGTAGGCAATTTGGAGAGCCTTGGCCAGCTGTCCTCAGTGTGCTGTGCATGTGCTGTGGGGGACACACTGGGTCCCAGCCCCTGAAGCTTGGATACCTTTGTATTCTCTATGTGACGTTTGGGCTGAATTAGTGGAGCTTCTGGGGTGGGGTGGGTGCACTGCTGGCTGAGAGTGGTGGGGGAGGGAAGTGGGGGTGTTGGGGTCCCTTACTCCCTGTGGATCCCTGGCTCTAACCCTCTACCTCCCCCTCCCCTGCACAGGGCTTGGCAGTGGCTTTGGGGGGAGTTGGGCAGAGGTCACCAGCAGCCAGTTCACCCCATTGCAGTGAGGACAGATTGCACATTGCTGGCTGCGACCTCTCCACGAGTGTGGACTCTGGCAGGGTGCAGCTTACCTGTCCCAGGCCACTGGCTCCTGGGGCTGCAGCCTTGGACTTTGGTGTGGGTGTCCAGGCCTCAAAGAGCTTTGGGAGGAGGGTTGCACTGTCCTCCAGAAGGAGCCCCCAGTTGCTGCCCAGGCTGAGGTCCCCACCAGGCCAGCCTGCAGTGTTCACAGCCTGAGGCTGGATCCTGGATGCTGGGCAGGAGCTGGGCTTCCAGGGGTGAAGGCAGGAGAACTGCATCCCGCACCCCTTACTCCTCTGCTCCTCTGGGGACACCTGGAGGCTGATAGGACTGTGGGAGAGTGTGTGTGAGGGGCTGTGTGTACATATGAATGTATGAGATGCTGCAAGTGTGTGAGAGATGCTGAGTGTATGTGTGTGTGTGAAATGGTGGCTGTGTGTCTGTGGTATGAATATGTGTGGTCCCATGTATGTGCGTGTAGCTGTGTGCATGTGGGGTGTGTAATTTGCTGTGAAGGTATATATGAGCATGTATTTGTGTGTGGGTGAGAGATGTGTGTGCTGAGATGTGTGCTGAGTGTACCTGTGTATCAGGTGTCATGTGCTGGGTCTGGATCTGGCTGTTCCCACAGTTCCCAAGTTCTGAGGTGGCCTAATGGAGGGGGACTGGCCTCCACTTTCATCAGTGGATCTAGGGGTGGGGTCATCGCCGAGGCTGTTGGGAGGTCATGGAGACTCAGGCTGGGAGTCTAGTGGCTGGGAAGGGTCCTGGGCTCTCACCTTGGGGCTGTGTTGTGCCCCTGGCCCGTTCCTCTCTGGCTTCCTCACTGTTTGCTGCTGCTGTGATATGAGCAGTTTCCTTCCACCACGCCCTTCCACCATGATGCTCTCCTCTGTGGAGCCCGAAAATGGACTAAACTCTAAACCATGAGCTGAAGCAAACTTCTCCTTTTTAAAGTGTTCAGACTAGGGATTTTATCACAGTGACGCAAAGCTGACACACCATGTGTGTGAGTGGGAGGTCATGAGAGTATGTGATCCGTGTGCTGCCATGGATACAGGCATCTCCACCTGGTCCTCCCTGGCAGGCCTGTCTGGGCAGCCAAAGAGCTGGGCTCCTCTGTGTGGGAGCAGGGAGGAGAGCCTGGGGGAGGCCTGGCCCCTCTGCCCCCTCACATGCTGCTGCTCTGCTCTGGAACACAAACGTGCCTTTTGGTAACTGTGCTGGAACCCGAAGGGAGGAAGCCACCTTCATTCTCTCCCAGGGGAGTGGCCGTTTTCAAGGTTATCGGAGGGGTTGAGATCTGCCTGCTCCCAAGCCACTACTAAATCAAGCATTCCGGTTTCCCTCACATCCTGGACATGGGGAGTGCAGCAAGCTGCCTGCCATTAGAATCGATTTCACATTTTAGCCGTCTATTTTTACATTTGGGCAGGGCAACTTCAAAGCCAAGCCTCTGTGGAAGCTGCGTTTCTTTCCTCTGAGCCTCCCCTCACAAGGGTGTGAAGTGCTCCTGCAGAGGTGCATTGGCCTTTCCACCTGCCAGTGGGTGTGAGCGCCAGCTGCCATGGTGAGCGAGTGAAAGATGGCGAGGTTTGAAGAGAAGGGAGAGGTGGCTGTGAGAGTCTCGAGTGTTTTTATGCTAGAAAAGCACAGATCCACAGGAGAACAGGTTGTTTACCATCCAGAGTGAACACCTGCTGTCAGATGCCCACGTCTTCGGTGCTGGGCATCTTAGACATCTGGAAAACATTTAAATGTCTACCCATGGCTGTGTGCCCGCAGTCTGCCTGTGTGTGTACTGTGTGATAAAAGGGCACAAATCTTTCATGGAATTATAAATCTTCAATAATAATTATGATATGTGATCATTGCTGAGCGCCGTACATGGAGGAACATTTTAACTGCTATTTTCATTTAATTTAGCACAACTCTGCCTTCCAGGTTGTTTTTTGGGGATGCCGGGGCCTTCCTGCGGGAATGCCCAGCACAAGCTGTATGGCTGAGCTGCGCCCACACCCCGATCCTCAGGGTGCAGCTATGGGGTTTGGAGGGATGGGCGCTCTGGCTCCTGAGCTGTGTGTGCCTCCTCGCTCAGGGTTGCCTGAGCCAAGGGGAGGGGAAGCCAGGCAGGCTGGAACCAAGGGGGAGCAAGAGGGCAGGCTCCACGGGAAACGAGGGGCCCAAGGTCACAGAAGAACGGGGCAGAAAGAGAAGAGTGCTGAGTAGCCCTGCGGAGCCCAGCAACCAAGGCACTCGTTGGGACAACAGGCACTTAGGTCCTGCTGCGTGGTCAGAAGTTTCCTGCAAGTTTCTCCATAGTGCAGGAGTGGCTGTGTCGAAGCTCACAGTGAGGCTGTACTTTTCTGAGTAGCAGACCTCAGTTTGAAATCCTGGCCATAGCCCAAGAATTACAGGTGGTGCTGATCCATGTGTCATCGTGGGGTCTTTGCCCTGAGCAGCGAGGTCGAGGGTTGCTGCTACTTGGTGCTCCCTGATCCTGGGCTACTGCCACTGCCACTGCCAAACTCCTTGCAGGCTGTGCAGTACGTGGACTTCTTGGGCTTAATTGTTAGTTAATTTACCTGTATTGCTACACATGCTACTTGTTATTCTCAAAAACAAAAGTAATTGAGAGGATTAGACATGTTGGTAAAGAGACTATTTTAAAACAGTTAAATTCTTTAAAGTATTTGGTGAAGATGGGCAGAGTTATCTGGTCCCCAGAGCAGCAGGGGTGCGCCCATCCTGTCCTCTGTGGACTGCCACAGGCCTTGTGGTCATCGTGGTCAGAGGGGAGCTCCGAGGGGCTCTCAGGTAGCAGTCACCTGGCCCTGCCATTCTATGCGCAGACACAGTGTCGTTTCTGCCTGTCCCTTCTTTCTGGTGCCTCCTTTTCTGTGTGTCCGAGTGGCAGTCTGTACCACATGCCTTGTGTTTCCCAGGTGGTACATGGCAGGTGCTGCAGGGCATGGTGACGCCAGCCAGGGGCTCGGGAGCTGTGTCCTGGAGATTCCAGCCTGCCAGGTGGTGGCATGGACTAGGAGGGAGAGGGCTTGCAGGAATTGGTGGGCAGCTGGGTGCTTCCTGGAGCAAATCCCACAGAAGTCAGTGTGTGGCAGGGAGGTTTTTTGGGTTAGCAGGACTCTCGCCCCAGTTGAGCTCAGTCTGTTAGATCCGTCTGCCTGTTTCCTACTAGCTTAGTGCCTCCCCGCAGCAGCACAAAGTGCTTTCCAGCCTTCCTGAGCTTACCACACCCTCAGTCTTACAGTCTTTGTTCGGCCTGACTTGGGTTTGCGTGTGGGATTTTCCTTTCGGATCCCTGCATGACCAGCAGTCACTAGTCCTGCTGCCGCACTGACAGGGACGTTTGCACAGTGTTCAGGAAAACTGAGCAGTGACCTGCGTCCCGAGGTCTCAGAGCAGCTGCAGACACCATGCATGCAGTCGGCTTCAGTCGGTTTTGTAGAACTGGCAGATTTAAACAGCTGTTTTGAGGACAAGGATACTAGCCAACAAAACAAAGATCCTGTCGAATGGAGGTAAAGCCCGGAGCCACGCTAGGAGACATCCATACTATGTGGCCAGCAGCATGAGCAGAGGGACCTGAGGTCCAGCCCAACCTCTGACCTCAAAAGTCCCAGATGGTCACACTGACCCAGAGAGTCTCACGGGTGCAGTCAGCCAAGCTTTTGTTTGATTTCTGTGGTGCTGGGCTCCAGCCAGGCCTCGCACGTGGGAAACATGAG